AACTCTTGATATGTTCTTGGCGCTGGACACTAAATTGAATAGCCTTACGCTATTAAATGTGGGTGGGTAGCATGTAAGCGGACCCCAACTACCTATAACGGACTATCAGCAGCAGCCTCCCTCGGCACAACCCTCGACCTCAGCATTAATTCCACGAGTGCTGAGATTGAGCGTTAGAAAAGATTCGGTACCCGAATGTGCAGCGAGTGTACCCGTACCGCCGGTGATTTCTGTTCTGTCCCCTTGGGGGTCGCATTTATTGCCCCCTCAAAGTCCCGTGTATACCGCTACATCTGCCCAGGGTGTTAGGCCCGGAATACCGGCCGACAATGGCACGGCAGATAACCCAATAATCTCTCAGCTGATTAAGCATTGGAAGATAATCTCGCCTTTATACAAGGCAATACCTGAGCCGAAAAAATTAAGATAAAGGTGGAAAAGTTTAAATTTTCTTACGCTAGGGACCTTTCATCTTTAAAAATAAATGTCCCTAACGAGCTCTTTAATACTTTGCTCTCGCAACTTCTGGCCAGATTACATTGTTGTTAAGTTGTTCCAAGCGAAAAAGAAAAAAACGGCCTGTATTAATAACTCTACCCAGGCCTGATCATTCCACTGCGCCTTCTACGTCTTCCAATCCCAAACTAACCAAAAAGACTAACCTACTCTCTAGGTATTTCCTATCAGAATGCAAGAGGCTTACGTCGTAAGCTTCCTAACTTGTATTCTGATAGCCTTTCGTTTTGCTTCTCAGGTTATTGTGCTCACAGAAACCTGGTTAAAGCCGGAGATTCTGAGCTCCGAAGTTTTTCCAGCTGTGTTCACAGTATATCGGCTAGATCGCCCTATCAGGCGCGGGGGTGGAGTTCTTATTGCAGTGGACTGCTCACTCACTTCAGAATCATTAACCTTCGAGGAATGCAACGATGTTGAATTCCTTTGAGTAAAGCTATCTATCGAAGGTAGATACATGCCTCCATTGTCGGAACTTCCTTTTATTGGAATCACTTTCCGCTATTAAGATGGTTTCCAGTAGACTTTTGGATAGAAACCAGTTGGTAGACCTAGGTGATTTTAATATCTCTGGTGCTATTTGGTGCTCAAATAATTCCACCAATACTCTCTATACACCTACACAACGTGACTCTATCGCTGGCTTGTTCGACATTACGCTGTCTCAAGTCAACCATGTGCGAAATTCCTTACAGCGCTTGCTTGATCTTTGCTTCATCTCTGATCCTGCGAGAGTCAGTTTAGCAAGGGTGGCGCCTGTGACGCAGCCCGAAGATCCTTATCATCCAACTTTCAATGTGATTCTTGATATTGGGTGTGACGTACAGAATATTTCTGACCGTCCAGCCAATAAAGTCCTATGTTTTCTCAAAACAGACTTTGAACGGGTGAATAATTTTATAAACGAGTTCAATTGGTCCGATCTATACATGTGCACTGACATGGCAGTTGCCGTGGATATTTTTTACAACGCCATGAATTCATTTTTTACTGAATGTGTTCCGTTCTACTAGCCGCCAAGCTTAAATAAACCGCCATGGTTTACTAAAGAATTGAGCCGACTTAAAAATAAAAAATCTATGCTGTATGCTAAATTTAAATTCACCCGGCTCTGCCCTTTCATCTTAATTCTCAGATCGGTCAAATTTAACCGAGCTGAACGCGCAGTGTCATAAAAACAATTTAACTCGTTGTAGGGCCCAGTTCTCAAAGGACCCTAATCGTAAGCCTAAAACAAATCCTTCCTCGCATTTATTTGATAATACTACCGCAAATAATGATCAGGCAATAGCCGATCTCTTTTCGTAGTTTTTTCAAACAACTTTTTCAAACCCTTCGTATTTACCCCAGACTTATTCCTACGGCATACCCAAATCAAACTTAATTTTATATCCTAGCCTAAACGAAAGTCCTCTTCTTTTAGATCTTCATCGTGTCAAGCCAGTTTATTCGCCAGGTCCCGACGGAATTCCTGGCTGTGTGCTTAGGTATTGTGCCGACGCTCTGTGCTATCTCCTTCTAAAATTGTTAACCTAGAACCCTAGAAACCTCCCAGTTTTTCATTATTTGGAAGGAATCGTTTATTATTCCTCTTCACAAAAAAGGTAGCAAATTGGATGCCAGCAATTATAGAAGAATCTCTAAGTTGTCGACCTTCCTTACACTATTCGAAAACATAATTACTCTTCACTCGCAGCACCTTTGTAGATCAGTTATTTCTCTATGTCAACATGGTTTTATTAAGCGAAGATCAACAACAACAAATCTTTTGGAGCTCTCTTCCTATATTATAAAGAGCTTCCATAACAATTTTCAGACAGATGTAATCTATACTGATTTCAGTAAAGCATTTAACTCTGTTTACCATTTTCTCCTCGTTAGAAAACCCGATTTAATGGGTTTTTCAAGTGATCTTCTTAATTGGATCTCAAGTTATCTGAATTGCAGGACGCAAAAGATCCTCTTTAAGAATAATTTATCCAATGTTTTACAATGTGTTACATCTGGCGTCCCGCAAGCTTGCTGAACTGCTGCTCTTTGGAAAGAATTAATTCTGTTGATGATTTGGGTGTCCACTTGGACCAAAAACTTGAGTTTATTGATCATTTTTCGTCTATGGTAAATAGAGCCAGGGGTGTGCTTGGATTTATTAAACGGTGGTCGAAGGAATTCAATGACCCCAATGTTACTAAATCCTTATATACTTCTTTTGTTCGTCGTATGTTAAAATATGGATACTGCGTTTGGAGCCCTTAGTACGGCGTCCATAATAAACGCATTGAGTCAAAAGAACTTTTTACTTTTTGCTCTACGCGGTTTAAATTGGGGTGCAAACCAAAGATTACCTTCCTACTCTAGTAGACTCCTATTAATAAACTTACCGTCCTTAGCCAATGACGAACTAGCCGGAGCAGGATCTGCAGGTCTGAGCACTGATATAGAGATACCGATCTCCATGAACTCGGTTCAGACAAGGATCCACGACCATTACAAACAGACTGCCAACAAGGAATGGTTAAAAAAGAGTGAGTATAGGAGGTCAAAGAAATGTTGGCCCACAGCAAACGGGACACCAGCAGGTTGACTGTGGTTACCACAGGACATTGTGCGATTGAGTCGCACACAATGAAAATGGGACTGCCATATAATGCAATCTGTAAAAGCTGGTAGCAATCTACAGAGCAAGAGACATCGGAACATCTGCTCTGCTCCTGCGCAGCGCTAAATCACATTAGAATACGTCACTTCCACGCCTACAAGCTGGAGTCACCTGGAAGTATATGAAATCTGAAGATATCAGCAATCCTATGCTTTCTTACTGACTCAGATTTAATTGAGCGTGATCGTGACAACAAGTAGACAACGGAGGGAGTGAACCAAAAAGGAACTCATCTCTAACTGGAGGCTTTAGGATGGGCCCTCACCACTTCTACCTACCTACCATCAATGTACCCTGGAGACATTAAGCTTTGCGTGCAATATAATGACCTTTCTCAGACGGAATTACAAACAGACATCAATAACTTTTAATAAGTGAGTCGTTAAAACTTATTTAACTTCAAGGGTTTTAAATGAACGTTGATGACATTATCATGTTGTTTCCAAGTTTGCAACTTTTTCGCTGAACGTCTGTTCAAAGAGTTAATTAATTCAATATATAATTTTGGTGGATTTTAAACTTAAGTCTAGCGATCATTTTGTGTGCTTGGAAAATAAAACCAGAGGTATGTTTGGAATTATTTAAAGATTCAATTGATTTCTATCACCCCTTTTGTTACAAAAACCGTTTATATTTAGTTCGTTTGTTAGTTCGTTAGTTAAAAAAAAATTATACTTTTCTTGTTACGCTACCTAACTGGGATGCCAATCAAAGGTCATATTCCGAATCTAATAGTCTTATCCTTATTAAAATAATTTTCTAAGTGAACCGTGCAATGCATCACCTTCTTATATATATACATATATGGTGGCTTGTTAGGTATGCTTAATTTCTTTGTATCGAATATAAATACTTGAACCATTTTTCCTTAAGTACTCCCACCCTATAAAACATTTTTGTGCAAATAATAATAATAATAATATTTAATGTATTCACAAACTAAAAACTTCAGTTCTAACCCTAAAAACATTGTGTTTCCACTTTCGTTAGGTAGTCCGGATCTGAAACCCATGGAGGTTTCTAGAACGGCGTTGAGAGGTGGTTGGTGTTGACCCTCCAGAAAATACAACGGAAATCAATTAAGAATTGAGTTCTCCATCGGTACAATCGGATAACAAATATTTTATTACACTCTATTTAAGAATTATTAATATGTATTTATTTGTCTTTTTTTTAATTTAAGTAATTTCATTTATTATTCTATCACGGCAGTGACAGTATAAAGTTTAAGGAAATAGCAGCAAATTTTTTTTTTTCGATAAAAATTATGCACGTGAGTTCACTTATTTTCCTTAATTTCATATTTTCCATTTTTTGTTTTTTGAATTATGTCAAACTTTCATCTTGTAGTTTCTTGTTCAAGTTTCGGTCCAAAATGATCTGCTGCCAGTAAAGAGAAGGTTTCTTTTGAGTAACGTTTTAACCGCACAATCTTTCAACAAAAAAGCACTTTCCATAGTGAAATCTGCCCACCACCGGAATCAACAAAATTTTCGCCGCTATTGGAACGTTAGGTTTTAAAAACCACGTTAGATGGCTTCAGGCAACTATTTCACAATCAATTAATTTACATTTAATATGTTTAATATGTTGCTAAGTGAAAAATAAATAAATCAATATATGAAACAAAAATCGTATTTAAAATTTATATTTTTTAGTTTTACAAACTTAACTTCTCCCAAGAAATATATTCATGAATATATATTGACTGTTATTATAAGTGAAATATATTACACTAGAGAGGGCATACGCAGGGTAATTTAAAATTTCAAAACAATTAATCTTAGGAACAAATTATAAAGATAAAATTTAATGTGATGTAACTTACTTCGAAAGCATATCTCAGGCCATCCCATGGCTTAATGGGCATATCTCCAGCCATTCGAGAGCCCAGTAAATCCCAATTGGTGTAGTTTTGAATGTATTCAACTAAACCAGATGGAGTTATCTCGTGGAGACCTTTAATTTGAAAATCTGCACGAAAGCCACTAAGAAAAGTAATATTGTGACCCCTGAAATCACGGAAAGTTTAATTTATTAATAAATTATCTATCCTTTTTTTAAAAGGTAATGGTATATTTAATGAACATTTTTAACATTTTATAAGAAAATCTGTATTACTCTTATTAAAAAAATGTTTTGTTTTCTATGTAATTTATGGAATAATAATCACACTACATCTAATTGCTTCGTTTAGTTCCTTTACAGTTGCACTTGTTTTGGTGGGTATTTTTTCGTGAAACCATGTCGAAATTGCCCTAATCTTTATACCAACAAATCTTGGTCGTGTTGGCATATAATTTTCAACTGGTTCTAACATTTTTGACCAGGTGAAGTTTACTCTAATGTTCATAGTTACCAACATTAAAATACCGGTATCCACTAACAGAAAATTTAACAAAATAACATAAGTGAAATAAGACTAAATAGCGATGACAGTAGTATTTTCCAATCTCAACCACTAATTTAATAGAAAACAAGAAAGGAAGCTAACTTCGGCACGCCGAAGTTTATATATATATATAATATATCCTTGCAGATAGAACTTCGATGACTTGGAATCCAGACAATATAAATTACATATATTGAGGTTAAAAAACAAGAAAGGAAGCTAACTTAGGCACGCCGAAGTTTATATACCGTTGCATATAGAGCACACATACATAAGCCATACAATATAAATTATATATATTTATGTTTACAAACAATGAAGTAATACCTGCTTTTATTTCATTCACCTATACATATTATATTAACAGTTTTACCTTCACAGATTTGTATGGCACCTATATGATATAATCGTCAGATTTTCATTAAAGTTGACACAAATCTTAAGAATAATATAAAATGGCTATATCTCAAATTTGATGAAAATCTGTTAAAAACTGAAAAAGTTTTAATTTTTAATTGTTTTAATTTCTCGATCGTTCCTATTGCAGCTATATGATATAGTAGTCCGATTTTCCTAAAATTTTACATTAAATTGAAAAGTAAAATGAAATGGCTATATCCCGAATTTGATCAAATTCTGTTGACAACTGAAAATGTTATAATTTTTAATTGTATTAATTTCTCGATCGTTTTACACAAAATTGTAGAATATTGTAAAATGGCAACATCTTAAGTTTTTATAATTTTTAATTGGTATTAATTTAAATGAAAACTGATAAAGTTATAAGTTTTAATAGTATTAATTTCTCGATCTTTCCTATGGGAGCTATATTATATATAAAATACATACATATAATTTTACACAAAAATGTAAAGTAATATAAATTGCCTATATCTCAAATTTGATCAGATTCTGTTGATAACTGAAAATGTTAGAATTTTTGTTGTTAAAATTTTCCGATCATTTCTATTGCAGCTATATGATATAGTCTTCAGATCAGGCCTGTTCCGACATATATACGAGTGAGAGTATATACATAGAAGACTAATTACCCAGTTTCATTCAGATAGCATTAAAACTGAGAGACTAGCTTGCGATGAAAATTCAAACTGTGTTCGGATACTGCCAAACAATTAATTGCTGTTTTTGAAGGGATTCGGAGAAGCGGTTCCGAAATTAGATTGAGATGATTAAAAAATATTATTTAACGAAAAAAAAGAATCGAAAGTCTTGTTGTTGAAATCGATTTGTTCACAGCTATAATGACAGCTGAAGTATTCACAAGTGTTTTGTAATGTAATTTATTAAATATTTTTAAAGAGTAAGTGACTTATTTGTATTTAGTTAATAAATTTATTTCCAGATTTGCTTTTGAACCTGGACTCTTTTTTAACCTTGATGGTGTGAACGGAAGGCCATTATATATCCAGTATTTGTTTTCTTCTTAATTGGTGAGTATATTTATGGAAAATATTGTCCATTTGATTCTTATATACATATGTATATACATATGTATGTTAAGCAGTGAGGAAGAGGCGGACAACGGATACTTATGGGTTTCGTTGTGAATGGCGTTTGGGCGATCGAGAGAGCAGAGGGAGCGTGAATCAGTTGCGGAAAAGAAGTAAACAGAAGCAGTCGCATTTTTCGGGAGTCGTTTGAAAGTTGTTAAAGTCGTTTAAGTTATTATATTAATCTCAGCATACTAATTCTAAATAAACATTATAATACAAACTCTACATTTGGGGGCTCGTTCCGGGTCTGAGATAAACAATTAAGAAAAGAGTTAAATTAACTAGTGAGTGACTAGAAGCTGTGAACAGAAGTTGTGAAATTCGGTTGAAAAAAGAAACTGCGTAGTAAAGCGATTCAGGTAGAAAAAATATCAAAGAAGACAACTGCGCAGTTTAATTCTGTACTCTTATATTCCTTTCGCTGTGACTTGGATACGGAAAAAATAAGAACGCCGGCAAAAAATAGAAGAGAAGTACAAGATATGGAAGAAGTCGATGAGGAGCAGGAAGAAGCAGTGGAACTGAAAGAAAATGAGAATGTATTGGAAGTTTCGGATATGAAGAATAAAATCGACAATATATTGCAGTTGTTGTCATTAAAAATTCAAATTGATGAGAGCACAAATGGCCGCGCCAAGCCACAAATTGATAATTTTGAGAAATAGTAAACGATTTTGATGGTCAATTGGTGCAACAATGGTTCGAAATGTTCGAAAAAAATGCAGATGCATACGATCTCACACTTAAACAGATGTTTCACGATGATTCATCAACAAAATGACTTTTGGGAAATATATTGTCAGGAAAAACAAAAATTAAATTAAAATAAGTGGTAATTATAGTTAGATAACTTAAATAATTTGTCCCCCAATGCAAGCGCTAACCGCTAAGTATTGCTGTGACGTCATAAGCAAGTGAGCCGCCGCTTCGGCCCACTGGCTGTGGCCGTCCGAAACCTATGAAAAAGACTCTGCGAACAGAAATTTGCACACGCATACAAACGTGTGAGCGCTTGTACACATATACACATATACAAAGAAACGAGAGCACAGCGCAAAGAAACGCACCCCTGCTCATCCTTCCACGGTCGATCTGCCACTGAAAAGTGAATTCTTGTTGTGCTCGGTTTCGAACGACTGCTTCGAACTCGAAAAAGCCGAAGGCACTCTGGGGTTCTAGACATATCGTTCGGGTGCTCTGGGGTTCCAGGCTCAGCCGTTTTTGTGATAGTACTTTTTGGTACTGTTTGACACCTCTATGTGTTTCTTGCTTAGTGGTACAAGGCAATACTTTATTCGTGCAAGACCTTCAAATCCCTCAGACAACAATATGAAATTATAATGCAACTGGACGATAAGCCTCGTAATTCGTGGAACAAGCGGAGTGCATCACCAAATAACCAACAGAAACGAAAGGAATTCTGTTTGTGGTTCAGCAGAGCATAAAATCAAAGATTGTCAGTCTCCAACGAAGTGCTTCAAATGCAATGAGACCGGTCATATTGCTAAAAATTGTCCGTTTGTAGAAGCAAATGTTCGCAAAGTGGTTGACCAAAGCCGTTTCAAACTAATCTCCGTAAATGGTGCTGAAATAAATTGATTGATCGATACAGGATCGGATGATTCACTTGTCACGAAGAAGATTGCTGAAAAAATTGGAAACATTGATATTTATAAAAGTGCATCGTTGTTGAGTGGTCTGGGCCAGAAAAAAACAAAGCCTATTTGATTTTTCACCGCTGAAGTTGTTGCCGATCAGTTATTCACGCAGCAAATGTTTCTAGTCGTGCCCAATGACGTCATCGATTGTGGAGCGTTGCTAGGTCATGATTTTACCAGAAAGTTCAACTTTTACTTGGACGACAATGGCTTCAAATTGACGGGTTTGAGAACTGAATATAAAGAAGCAGATGGATTTGGCTCCGATGTTTATAATATTAAAGAAGCATCTAATTTGTTTACTTTTTCACCCAGGTATAAAGAAGCAGTGTGAAAACTCGTCGAAGAAGTCCAGAGAAGGCCATCAAACCCTTCTAACCAGGGTCCAGTCGAGCTGAAGATCACTCCAGATGGCGTAATAAAACCATTTCATCAGTCACCATCTCGCCTATCTGCAAACGAAACCGAGGCTATTAAAAACCAAATAACCGAATGGTTGACCCAGGGAATAATACGTAAGTCATCATCGAACGTAAATTTAAAACACCCAAAAATATACGAGCGGTGCAGTCATTTCTTGGTTTAACAGGTTTTTTCAGAAAGTTTATACCAGGTTATGCTCATATTGCCCGACCGTTGACCAATCTCCTCAGAAAGGACGTCGAATTCCAAATAGGAAGCGCAGAACTGCAGTCCCTTCAAGAGCTTAAGCGGATTCTCTTCTGCGAACCGGTGCTACACATATACTCGCGAACAGCACAAACTGAGCTGCACACCGATGCATGTAAGGACGGATTTGGAGCAGTTTTACTGCAGGTATTTGATGGCCAACTGCACCCGGTTTATTTCTGGAGTAAGAAAACGTCAGCTTCAGAGGCCGAAAGACATAGCTACATCTTAGAGGCGAAGGCTATCTATTTAGCGCTCAGAAAGTTTCGTCATTACCTCATGGGCATTCACTTCAAGCTTGTCACAGATTGCTCCGCGTTCAAAGACACCACCAGAAAAGACGATATTCCGAGAGAAGTTGCAGCGTACGTAATGTATCTACAGGCCTTCAGCTGCAATGTTGTTCACAAGCCAGGGAACAAGATGAAACACGTGGATCACCTGAGTCGCCATCCAGAGTCAGTTTGGATCGTAACAGCAGAAGTAGCAGCACGCATCAGGAACGCACAACAGAATGACGAATACAGTAAAGCAATTCTGGTCATTCTCCAGGATCGTCCATATCGAAATTTTAGGATGAAAGGTGATATTCTTTACCGAACAGTCGAAGGCAACGATCTTATTGTTGTGCCTAAATCAATGGAAAAAGATGTCATTCGAGAGCCTCATGAAGTCGGCCACTTTGCAGTTCAAAAAACTATTCATTCCGTAAAGCAGCAGTTTTGGATCCCTCACCTAGAGCGGAAGGTAACGAATTTTAAAGCCAACTGTATTAAATG